TCATCCACATTGGGATTTACACTCTTCCCTGAGGTTAAAGACAGCCTGGACTGCTTGTTTGAGATAAAATAATTTCTCAGGCTTTAACTTGGGCCTATTGAATGAGGATTTCCAGGGGAGAGGACTGGCCGTCTGTGTATTTAGCAAGTTCCCCAGGTGATTCGTATCTTCAGAGAAGACTGAGAAATATTGTTCTGTTATTTGCAGCTGAAAGTATTGTAAGCACTACCCCAGACTCTAATTTAGGTTCTAACACTTAATTATTCCAAGATTCATTTTCCTTGTCTATAAAGTGGGCATAAGTATGCCCACCTGGTAGAGCTGGGGTGACAATGAGATACTGTACCAATTAGGATTAGACTTACCTGTGTATAACATAAAGTAATAATGGCTTAAACAAAAGGGTTTATTTTTCTCTCAGGTAAAAGTTGGAGCTAGGCAATCCAGAACTGATATGAGGTCTCTAATCATTAGGGACACAGACTCTTGCTGTCTGTCTTTCCATCTGCCCTGTCATTGAACAGGATTTCAATGAGGATTTCATTCAATCCTCATTCATTAGTAGCATATTGCCTCTTGGCACAAAATGGCTGCTGAGGCTGCAGCCATTTTTTCCATAGTCCCACCAAGAGGGAAGGGAAGAAGGGATGCAGCTTCTACTCAAGATCCCCTTAAGGAGTATTTCTGGCAGGTCTTCATAACATTCCTGTTTATGTTGAATGACCAAGAGTCATGCAATATAGTCACAGAGCCACACCTAGTTGCATGGAAGCCTGAGAACTAAAATCTTTTAGTTCAGAATCAGATCTTTGCCACCCCTAAATAAATCAGGCTTCTGTTACATTAAAAAAAAAAAAAAGAAGAAGAAGAAGAAGTTTAATAAAATTTGGCAGCCACAAGGGAATTCCCTGGCAGTTCAGTGGTTGGGACTAGATGTTTTCACTGCTGTGGGCCTGAGTTCGATCTCTGGTCGGGAAACTAAGATTCACAAGCAGTGTGGTGCAGCCACAAAGATATTCTTCCACAAACTTCCTACTGCTGGGAGCTGAGGACACCTGCTGCTATGCTTTGAAATCTATTGGCCATGGCTCCCAGGAGGTGCACCCCACCCATGGCTGAGTTTGATGGCGTACGAAGTCAGACCCAGTCCTGAGAGACAAGGGATTCCTTTATTGGCTAACTTTGGCTCAAGGACTCCCTGAGAGCTTTGCCAAACCTTCGTTAGACTGAATCTTCCTTAATCTGCAGGGCAGTCTGGGACACTTGCTCCCACCTTCTCTCCCTCTCTCCTTCACTTGGGGTCTGATGGCCTTCCTGGCCTTCTCTAGATCGCACCCTATTTCCTTTCACACAGGCATTTCCCCCTAGTAAAATCCTTGCACGGTTAATCCCAGCTTGGTGTCTGCTTCTTGAAGGACCTGGACTGACAAAATTGGCAAGGCAATTCACAGTCTCTAGCATAGATTTATTTAAATAATGCATATAGAAGCTGCATAACTCAGGGATGAGCATGTAGCAGGCACTCAATAAATAATGGCTGTGTGATAATGCTGGTGGTAGTGGAGGAGGAGGGAGACAAGGGAGAAGGGGAGGAGAGGGGGGAGAAGGAGGAAGTACAGAGCCAGCCATGGAGAAAGGAGTGTTTATAGATTGGTGGGACAAGAGTCTGAAGCAAATCACGCTGTTTGATTCTCTTCCACCCCCACAATATTTCTATTACAGTAAAATCTGGTTAAAATCAATACCAAAGTCAGTAGGAAGGGGGCAAAATAGATCCTACATAGTTGTCATCTTGGGGAGACTGAACTGTTATTACTTAGCATCAGCCATTTCAAGTCATTTTTCAACAAAAAAGAACGGGGAAAAAAGAAGAAGAAAGAAGTAGGGCAGGCCCCAAGACAAAACTGCACAAAATAAACCCAATGTCCTGAACAACTCTGGTCCTCATATGGAAAAATGGTGACCAGAAATTACTTGTTGTAATGACCTAAGAACACTATTCCCATAAGAAAGTTTTCAGCATAAAAGTTAAAGCACATGCAAGTCTCTACAAAAATAATGAAGAATTCAAGGAGATAAGACAGTGAGGGAAGGCGCAATGGGGGGAAATGTGGATGTAATCTGTATAGGACACAAAAGTTCCTGGGAGGGGCTTCCCTGGTGGTGCAGTGGTTGAGAGTCCGCCTGCCGATGCAGGGGACGCGGGTTCGTGCCCCGCTCCGGGAAGATCCCACATGCCGTGGAGCAGCTGGGCCCGTGAGCCATGGCCGCTGAGCCTGCGCATCTGGAGCCTGTGCTCCGCAATGGGAGAGGCCACAACAGTGAGAGGCCCGCGTACCACAAAAAAAAAAAAAAAAAAAAAAAACAAAAGTTCCTGGGAACCTAATCGACATCATGTACTCAGCACATGGTAGAAGCTCAGTGAATGATGGTCGCCCAGGTAACTGAATGGCTCACTCAAGGTTATAGCTCGTCATTCATTCACATGTTGAAGAAAGATTTGTAGAAAGCCTACTATGTGCCAGGCCCTGTGCTAGGCCCTGAGGGTGCCACAGTGAACAAGACAGTTGAGATCCGTGTCCTTACCATCCTTCTGCAGAGAAATCTCCTTTGCAGACACTTTATGTGGGTCCCTCTACCTCTGTCTTTCCATAAACACTGCCTGAATTGGTGACCATGTCTAACAGATTAAAGCCTATACATTTTTAAAAATATTTATTTATTTATTTAGCTGCTCCAGGTCTTAGTTGCAGCATGCAGGACTCTTTGTTATGGCATGGGGGATCTTTTAGTTGCAGTATGCAGGCTCTTAGTTGTGGCATGCAGGATCTAGTTCCCTGACCAGGGATCTAACCCAGGTCCCCTGCATTGGGAGCATGGAGTCTTAACCACTGGACCACCAGGGAAGTCCCCAAAGCCTATACATTTCTTCTAAAATATTTTCTTTGTCTTTAAAACCAAGTTGACACACCCATGTAAAATGATCCATGATGCCACCTTGGATTTCTGTTAAATAACTTTGTATTAGTTATCTATTGCTGTGTAACAAATTAACCCCCAAATTAGCAGCTTAAAATAACAAACATTCATTATCTTAGAGAGATAAGGACTGACTTAGCTCAGTGGTCCAGCTCAGGGTCTTCCATAAGGTTTTGGTCAAAGTGTCAGTTGGGGCTACCATCATCTGAAGGCTTGACTGGGGCTGGAGAATCTGTTTCCAAGGTGACTCACACACAAGGCTAACAAGCTGATGCTGACTGTTGCCAGGGGATCTCAGTTCTTCGCTACACGGGTCTTTACATAGGGCTCCTCCTGACACGGCAGCTAGCTTTCCCCAGAGCAAATGATCTGATAGAAAGACAGACACAGAGAGACCAAGAAAGAAGCTGCAATGTCTTTTATAACCTAATCTCAGAAGTGACAAACCATCACTTTTCCTGTACTCTGTTGGTCACATAGACCACCCCTCTGGTACAATGTTGGCAGGGACTCCACAGGGTCTGGGAACAAGGAGCAGGGGTCACTGGAGGCCCTCTTGGAGACTAGTTACCACAGCCTTCAAGGAGAGCTTCCTCTCCCCAAACTCCACCCAAACTCCAGTGGGGGAGAGGGTGTGCGTGCAAATTCCACTGTGTGAAAACACAAAGGCACACAGCAGTAAATTCACTCTGTCCTGGAAACCCAGTATTTGAACCCCAGAGAACTGCCTTTCCTCAATCCTACTTCAGCACCACACCATAGGCCTGGACATCATAGAAGCAGCTCCAATTAAGTCATCCGTGTCTGTTTCACTGTTAGTGTCCTCCCTCTGAGGACCCACAGGAAAAATACCTCTCTGGTCTCAGGGTCAGGAAAAGTTGTGCTTCTCCTGAATAACTACTTTGTTTTTCTCATGTAAAATGTGGAATTTTGTTACCACTCACGTCTCCCTCTTTACTTTGGCTATTGGGAAGCTTGGAGCCAACCGTGTAAGCCTCTGCTGGTGTCCATCTCCTTGAGCTAATGTCACCCTGGAATTAGCTCTTCTACTTGTTCTATATCCCCTCCAATCCCTTCTCTTTTTTTTTGCCATGTCACGTGGCTTGCAGGATCTTAGTTCCCTGACCAGGGATTGAACATGGCCCTGGCAGTGAAAGCGCTGAGTCCTAACCACTGGACCACCAAGGAGTTCCTTCCAAACCCTTCAACTTTTCATTTTATCCTTTTGTATGTTTTGGACTTTTATAATTCCTCTCAAAGCTTTTGTGGATTGGAGTATAAATACACTGATAAAGTTCGTGTCCAAACGCTGATGACTTGCACACGTGTGCCATCTAGTGGTGACAGTGATAACTGCCAGAATAGAAACCTCCCTGATTTTTCAGATTTGTTTTTTCTGGGAAGTGGTGGTGTGGGAGTGTGGAACAGGAGGGAGACCAGAACCGCTCTCTGTGCTTTGTCAGGGAATTGAGACTGTGCTGGGGATTAAAGAGACTACAGGCAGGGCAAAGGAGCAGGTGATTCAATGGCTAGAATCGGACATGATTTATTGGAATCTAAAGAAGCAAAAAAATAGCGAAGATCCAGCAAATGAGGAAGGCACTGGCGGTGGAAGTGTTAAGTGAAAGGTGTTAGAAAAACTGAACAATGAAAATAGACCTGATGCAGGCAGAAGATCACTTGAAAGGTACTTAATGTGGGTCGACTGCAGATGTGACCAGCCATTTTTTAAGCATTCACGTTAACCGTAGGAAGAAGCTTAGAGTCTAATTTCGTTTTACTCAGGAGAAAACTGGGACCCAGAGGCACGGAACACCTTGTCCAAGGTCATACAGCCTGTTACTCACAGGTCCAGGATGACCCTGAGACCAGTCCTCTTTTCCCAGTACCACACTGCTTTTAATCATATGTAACAGGTGTTCATTTGGGCTTTCCTTTTGCACACAGGATTTTAAAATAAAAAATTGGACTGTCACCAAAAACTGCTGGATCCAGCAGGTTTCCAAGGAATTATTACTCACTTGTTTTGCAGCTGCCCCACGGCACACCCACAGAGGGTCAGGATGAAGGTGGTTATGAAACACTGGCTTCACCAACCTTCACTAGACGGCTCATGCCACTAGTCCACAATGACGGGGAGGGATTCTAGGAGCCAGTCGCGGTAGCTGAGAGAGCTCCAGCCTGGGGAAGAGAAGGTAAGTTCATTCAGCCACAGTGTTAACCCAGCATCTTCTCTGCACCAGGCTCCAGGCAGGATGCTGAGGTAGCAAAATCAGCAAGGCACGGGCCATATCCAGGAGCCACACACATTCCCTTTGTCTGTACCCCGATGTGCGTTCCTGGGCACGGCTTGAGCTGCAGCTAAGGGATAGCTTGGATCTGGAGGGCCCCTGAAGACTTAGCCCAGGGGTCCGTAGTCTGAGGCTGAGCTGTCTTGGAAACAGCCTAGAGTCAGGGGACCACTGGGAGGATGGGAGCTACTATCTAGGCAGAACTTGAGACCTTACCATATCAGACAGTGTAGATATAGAAGAGTTTCATCATCTCAGAGAGTTCTACTGGACAGCACTGGCCAAGAGCACCCTTTCCTGGATTTTCTGCATCTTACCAGTTCTTCCAGGCCCTTCAGATACTGACATAAGCAAGAGAGTGATATGAGTCACTGGTTTCTGCAAGGGGCAGAGCTCCATGGCTGTTCCAGATCTGATATCCTCAGAGGTACAAATGACCCATCTGAGACAGAGGGCACTTGGAGGTCAGCTCTTTAAACTTTTCAGACTTCTATGCCCATAAAAGATGCCAAAATAGGTGCTGGGGAGTAGAGGGAGTATAAGGGGGCCTCAACTTTTGAGGTCAGAAAGACCTAGGTTCCTATCCTCTCAGGTTTGAGACAAGAATTAGAATTACAGTAAGTCCCATACATACGAACGAGTTCCATTCTGAGAGGGCGTTCGTAAGTCCAATTTGTTTGTAAGTCCAACAAAGTTAGCCTAGGTACCCATCTAACACAATCGGCTATATAGTACTGTCCTGTAATAGGTTTATCATACTTTTCACACAAATAATACATAAAAAACAAAGAAAAATAAAAAACGTTTTTAATCTTACAGTACAGTATCTTGAAAAGTACAGTACAGTACCAGCTACATCACCGCTGCTTTTACGCTTGCTTCCGGACATCCCGGGCTTGAAATAAAGATATTGTACTACTGTACTCTATACAGTACTGTACAGTGAAGTACACAAAAGCATAACCACTTGTAGAGGATGCACGCATGTGACAACGTACGCCAGACACGTGACTAACTTATGTGATTGGACACGCGAATGCAGGTTCACATCTCTGAAAGTTTGCAACTTGAAGGTTCGTATGTAGTAGATTTATTGTAGTTCCAATTGTACTGAGTTCTGACTACACTACTAGCTGTATAGTCTGGGCAGGTCAACAACCTTTATCCACCACACCCTCAGATTTCCCCTCCGTAAAATGCAAATACCCTGCAGCTGGGCAGAATGAATATCCTTAAGTGCAGAAACAGTAAGCCTAGGGGAGAGTCCTGGTGGCCCAAACAAGAACCAGCTACCGCTGAGAAAAGCGGGAAGAACAGCGGAGCTCCCTGAGGGCGAAGGTCACTGCCAGATGCAAGTCCCAACAAAAAATAGATCCCCCTACATGCGCAGCGCCATGATTCTTTGCACCCTTGTAAAGTGTCCGGTGAGCAGCAAGGGCTGGGGCTAATTTAGGGCCGTTATCCTCTGTTTCTTTTGAAGTAGAGCCCCTCATTTCTCAGAAGATCTCACAAACATTTGCTTAATAGAAATCTAAGCTTGGAGAATTCTCAGGACTACAGTGTACCCACTACTTCCCTCCTCACCCGCGACCCCCAGGGCCCAGGAGAGACGCCAGCCCCGGCAGGACCCGGAGACCTTCAAGTTACTACACTTCCCAGAGGCCTCTGCGCAAAGAGAGGGGCCGGGCAGCGGCTCGCTTCCCCCGCCTCCACAGTGCGGGATGTTTTAATCTCAGAGGTGTCGCCTTCCTGGCGCTCGCCAAGGTCCCCACGCACCCGGAACAGCCCCCATCTAATCAGCCGGGAAGAAATAAGCGCAGCAAGACACTCTAGGAAAGGTAGTTTCCAAAAATATTTCTGGGAAACGGAGGGAGGCAGCGAGGTTTGCCAGCCAATTAAGAGCCGGGCTCGGGGCTTGTCACGTGACTCGCGCGGTCAGCTGCTTTGGGGCCTTGGCTTGGCTGCGGGAGGGGGCGTCCGGAGCTGTGGGCAAAGCTACTGCCGCCGCCTGGTCTGGCCTCCTCAGCCCCTGAGTCGTCCCCGCTGGCCAATCACAGCGCTGACCGCATATGTGCATATATTTGAACTTGGCGCTGGAGGACCTTGCAGTGCTCATCTCCTGCCTTGGCCTGTGCAGCAGCCAAACTGAGGCACTGGAGTTGCTTCAAAGCTTTATTGGATAAAACCATTCATCACCTGTTGGGTTCGCCTCATCTTTGGGGGCCTTTTCTACTCTGTGTTCTGATTCGGCCACTGTGTCTTCACCCATGACCTTGTCGCCTCCGAAATTTAAGTCCTGGGACCCGTCTATATCTCGTTATCGGCCGCCTCTAGTTTCATTTCTTTCCCTACCCAGCCTAAATCCTCAGAATCCTGTCCTGCCTCATGTGCTTCTGTAACAACCCCAGACCATCGATTAATACAATCGCCTGCTTTGGGGTCGCTAGGTGCTTCTGGAGGGGGAAAGATAGAACACCAACTTAACAGATTGGTGCCACTGGGATCAAGATCTCAGCTGTCAGCTAAACTAAGCTCCGTGGGATTGGGACAGCACTGGGAGGCCAAAAAAATAGAGGCGGAGAGTTTGCTGCTGAGACCTCTGGTGGGAGTACAAGGCTTTGCAAGGGCCATTTTTGTCGCATCCCACCTCATGTTTGTCCTATTAGAGCCTGAGAATGAAATGTAGAGCAAAGCAAAATATTAGTGATGAGAATATTCTAGAATGGCACGTTGGTGAGAAAGTATCAATAGAAGATCCTGTAGAGACTCAGACAAATGTTAAGTAACATGAAGAATGAAATGAGAAATAGCAAGAAAGCATGCAAAGATGCTAAATTGGTGTAGTTAAAAGTTCTAAATAAACTCAGAGAGCAAGATAAAGTCCTTTAAAAAGCATTATGATGGAAAGGGATTGCGTGTTTCTGATGGCCAGCCTTCCAGAAAGATTAAAAGATTATACCCAAAAATTCCTTTGAGAAGTGGCAGGTGTAAGAGGATCCTGGAAATCAGTAAGTAACCTGGCTTCAAAAATATAATTTTGAAAAAGGAGGTTTTTCATGAGGGGAAAAGGAGATCCAAAACAAATATGTCTGGACATATCAGAGGCCCCTACTGTGTTGTATCTTAGGAGCAGAATCCCAAGTAGGCTGGGCTCCTGCTGTCACAAAGGCCATTAAGCAGGCTTTGGAGCCCCAGGGGGAGACCACACACGGCCTGAAACTTCTCAGGAAGTGTGCTGTCAAGCACTGGAGAGGAGATTTAGTTTGATTTTGTTCTCTCACAATGATTATGTGTTATTAATTTATATCTTTCTGTTCCTCTATAGCATAGGGTCCATTTGTTGTGTAAAAAATCCATGAAGTACCTTAAACCCTATCTAGTGTTTTCACATACCACATGGTATTTGATAAAGAAAAGCAGCAAACTTGTCTGTTAACAGTTAACTGGAAAGGGTATTGCTTTGAAAACAATCCAATTTATTACACATCTGTATATCAACCTTGCCACCCGATTCTAAATTTAAATACTTCTGTTAAGAACTTCCCTGGTGGTCCAGTGGGTAAGGCTCCACGCTCCCAGTGCAGGGGGCCTGGGTTCGATCCGTGGTGGGGGAACTAGATCCCTTAGTTGCATGCCTCAACTAAGAGTCCACATGCCGCAACTAAGAAGTCCGCGTGCCGCAACTAAAGATCCTGCATGCCACAACTGAGACCCGGCGCAGCCAAAATAATAAATAAATAAAATTTTTAAAAAATAAGTAAATAAATACTTGCTGTTTACCAACAGGAAATTACAGCTACATTTATATATGTCTGTGGGGGAAATGCCTGCAGAGAATAACCACATCTTTATATGCAAAGCAAATATCCGAAACCAAAGAAAACAATTCTGGAATCCCAGGCTGGACATTAATATTTTAGGAGTAGAGCACAAGATCTTCAATAAACAAGAAAACCTACACGTTGTAGAAAAAGAAATCACATAGATATCAATTTTCCTTAAGGTAGAGCGATTCATCTCAGATTGTTCAGGACCAGTTTGGTTGGTTGTTTTCAATTCTTTGCACACCAATACTTTTGTAAGTAAGAGTTTATTTCTAGAAAAAATGAAATTATAATGAATTATAAAATACAAAATAGTGACCCCATTTTTTAATGATTAGAGTCAACATACATAAAATCACTCTAAAGTTGCTATAAGGGAATTCCCTGGCGGTCCAGTGGTTAGGACTCTACGCTGTCACGGCCAAGGGCCTGGGTTCAATCCCTGGTCGGGGATCTAAGATTCCACATCCCACAAGCCATGTGGTGCAGCAAAAAAAAAAAAAGAGAAAGAAAGAAAAAAATTGCTATAAAAGTTTTGAAACAGTCTCAATTCTATATTTAATTCATGGAAGACCAGATAATCAACCCCCCTTGTCCAAGGACTATATTTCATATAGCACTAAGAAAAAGCATCTAAAAATGGAGATCTTTCAAAAGCATATCATTCTTTGGCTCAAACTTCCATTATTTTTATAAGACTGACTTTTATTGTCAGTATATGAATATACCACAATTTATTTACCCATTGTCCTGTTGACAGACATTTGAATTGTTTCCCATTTTTTATTATTACAAACAATGTTGGAATGAACATTTTTGTAAATGCCTCCTCATGCACAAGTGCAAGAACCTAGGGTATAAACTCATGTTATCCTATGTGATTCATAGACCCATGAGTGAAATTGCTGGGTTGAACGATGTATGCATTTTCACTTTTAGATATTGCCTACTTGGTCTCCAAAGTGCTTGTACCAATTTACGTTTACTTCAGCAGTGTGGAAGAGTTCCCAAGTCTTCGTTTGATCACAAACATTTAAAATTCTCAGACTTTTAAATTATCCCAACCTGCTGGATATGAAATAGTACTTCAGATGGTTTAGTTTGCATTTCCATAGTTAATAATGAGGTTGAGCATCTTTTCATACATTTATTAGCCATTCTGGCTTCTTTTTCTATGATTTACCTCTTTATCTTTTATTCTTTTCTTTTCTTTTTTTTTTTTTTTTTTTGCGGTACGCGGGCGTGTCATTGTTGTGGCCTCGCCCGTTGCGGAGCACAGGCTCCGGACGCGCAGGCTCAGCGGCCAGCGGCCATGGCTCACGTGCCCAGCTGCTCCACGGCATGTGGGATTCTCCCGGACCGGGGCACGAACCCGTGTCCCCTGCATCGGCAGGCGGACTCTCAACCACTGCGCCACCAGGGATGCCCTTTTATTCATTTTTTTATTGAGTGTTCTTAATTTTTGATTTATAAGTTATTTATATATTCTGGATTTGAATCTTTGGTCAATGATGTATGTTGCAAATATTTTTTCACAGTCTGCAGTTTGTCCTTTCGTATTTTTAGTGATGTTGTTTGATACTCAGGCATTTTTTTATTTTAATGATGTTGACTATCAGCTTTTTTCTTTATGGGTTGTGCTTTTTGTAATTTATTAAATCTTTGCACTAAACAAAGATCATAATACATGCTCTCCTATTTTCTTCTAAAAGTTTTCTCTTCTTCCTGGGTTCTTAAATTCCACTTGGATTTTTGTATTTGGTCCAAGAAAGTGTTTCAGTTTTATTCTTTCCTATATGAATAACCAATTACTCATCTTCATTTTTGTAAAAATCTGTCCCTTCTCCACTGATCTGCAAAGCCATTTTGTTAAAGATGTCAGATGTCCCTCTATGGCTGTGTTTCTGGGCTCTGTATTCTGTTCCAGTGCTGTAGATATCTACCCCTGATCCATTGTCACAATGTCTTAATTACCATACTTTATGGTAATTACTTATTTATTATAAAATATTTATTATAAAATAAGTCTTGTTGTGTGCTAGAGTGAGTCCATCATCCTCTGCTTCTTTCTCATGTGTGTCTTACCTGTTTTTGTACATTGCCATTTACATTTTAGAATTGGCTTGTTGAGTTGCCAAAGAAACATGTCAGGATTTTTATTGTAATTGCAATAAAAATCTATATATTCCCTTGGGGAATCTTTATGATACTGTTTCTGTCCAGGTTCACAATATGTTTTTCTCTTTATTTAGGTCATCTTTAAGATTTTTCTGTCTTTTTAAAAATAATTCTTAATAAAGGTTTTAAACATCTTTTGTTAGATTTATCAAAAAGTCCTTTACAATTTTTTAATGCTGTAAATAACATCTTTTTAAAATTATATTTTCCACATCTTTGTGTCTGAATTATAGGAAAACAATTGAATCACCTTGCTAAACTCTCATAGTTTTTCTAATAATCTGTTTGTAAATTATCTTGGCCTTTTCTATGTAGACAATCATGTAACCTGTGAATGATTGCATGAGAATGATGTGCAGTAGACTGAGTACCCACATCCTAGATGCCTGCATCACAGTCTCCTAAACCTGTGACTATGTTATCTTACGTGACAAAATGGACTTTGTAGATGTGACAAAATTAAGGGTCTTGAGATGGGGAGATTTTTCTGGATTATCACAAAGTTCCTTTTAAGAGGCAGACAGAATTTGTCATAGACAGTGAAGGCTATGTGATGACAGAGGCAGAGAGAGGTGATATGATGATGGAAGCAAGGGTTGGAGTGATGTGCTTTGGTGACGGCAGAAGAGGCCACAAGCCAAGGAACACAAGCCGTCTTTAGAAGCCAGAAAATACAAAACAGATCCTTCCCAAGGGCCTCTAGAAGGAACAAGCCCTGCTGACACCTCAGTCCCATAAGACTAATTTCAGACCTCCAGAAGTGTAAGAGAATAAATTTGTGTTGTTTTAAACCACTAAATTTGTGATAATTTGTTATAGCAGCAATAAGAAACTAACACAGGATGCGTGGAAGATACACTTTTTGATACTTGTCTGAACTTGTCTTAATTCTTCTAATTTTTGAGTTTGGCTCTAGAATTCCAGGCTGGAATCTTGTTGCCTCAGAACAAGATACGGTTTTTTTCTCCCTTTATGATCTTTATATCATTTCTTTTTCTTGTCTTACTGTACTGGCCAGACTGTCCAAATGCAATGTTGAATAGAAAGATTTTATAGGACACCCTTGTTATCTTCCTGATTTTTTTTAAGATTATATCCTGATTTTTTAATTCAAATGTATTTGACATATAATATTGTATAAGTTTAAGATGTACAATGTGTTGATTTGATAAGTCACCTTCCTGATTTTAAAGGGAATGTGTCTAATACTTCACCATTTAAGTATTTTATATGTATAAATTATAGGTAGAAAATTTTCATCAAGTTAAAGAAATTTCTTTCTTCTCCTAGTTGGCTAAGATTGTTTTTAGCATAAATGAGTGCTGAATTTAATCAGATGCCTTTTCTGTGCCTATCAAGATAATCATGTAGATCTTCTCCTTTAAGCTATTGTTGTGATGATTTATAGTAATACTTTATTTAAGTTGGACAAACTTTGCATTAATGAGGTAAGAACAGCTTGCTTCTGCTGTATTCACCTTGCTAAATATTAATTCAAAATTTCACATCTACGTTTATGAGTCAACCGGGCTATAAATTCCTATCTTCGGCTGTCCTACTCGTGTTTTGGTCCAGGGTTTGATAGCCTCACAAACTGAGTTGGGGAGTGTTCCCTATCCTACTATTTCGGTCGATTCTTTTCATTTTAGAACTTAAGCATTTACTTACAACTACAGAAGATACAGATTTGATTCTCTTAAATTCCACGCACTCTTACCCACAAACATACTTTCAATGCCTTCATTCTTCCTATGTAGTTGTTTTGTAATTTTTGGTTCCATCAATATTCAGGATTATGTAAATATTATATACTCATGAGCCACATTGTATATTACATTTACATACCCTTTCCTATACAACTTTTGGTTTTCCTTGGAGTATATAAGTGGGATCTTGGTTGGTTGGTTTTGGCTTAGTTTTCTATGTGCCGATCAGTCATTCTTCCTGAAGCTGTTGCACAAAACTGTAAATCTCCTCTCCATTCATTTAAGTATTAGGCAACGGTCAGCTGTATGTTTTTCATGGAGAAATCTCTCCTGGAGTTTTCTTGTTCCCTTGCTCCAAACTAGATTGTGCTGTGCCTGCTTCCTGCTGCTTTGGGGAAATTTCCCTCAACTAGCATCCTTTTTATTCCTTTTGCCTCTTTTCTGTCTTGGAATCCCCGTGTCCTGGTTCCCATGATTTCCTCTTTCTTGATTTCTGGGCTCATTTTTGGTGGAGCACAATTCTCTCCTTTTGAGAAGGGATACACAGAAAATAAAATTTTTAAGGCCTTACTTGTTTGAGTTTATCTTAATTCTGTTCTCTCATTTGCTACTTTCAAGGGGCCTAGAATTCTAGATAGGAATCTTGTTCCTTCAGAATCTAGGTTTGTTGTCTTCTAATTTCAGTCTTACTGATGAGAGGACCAACTGTTTTGATTCTCAGTTTTTTAATATGAGTTGTCTTTCCTCTCTTATTGCTTGTATGATATCTCTGATGTTCTGAAATTTCGTAAAGATGTACTTTGGTGTAGGGTTTTTTCCCCCTCATTGCATTGGACTCTAAGGCTCTATTAATCTAGAAACTCATATCCCCAATTCAGAGAAATTTTCTTATAGTGTTTGTGTGAGAGAGAGAGAGACAGTTAGAGAAAGAGAAAGGGAAACATTTGACATGTACTGGGTTGACCAAAGTTTGTTCAGGGGCTTCCCTGGTGGCGCAGTGGTTGAGAGTCCGCCTGCCGGTGCAGGGGACATGGGTTCGTGCCCCAGTCTGGGAAGATCCCACAGGCTGCAGAGCGGCTGGGCCCGTGAGCCATGGCCGCTGAGCCTGCGCGTCCGGAGCCTGTGCTCCGCAATGGGAGAACAGTGAGAGGCCCGCGTACTGCCAAAAAAAAAAAAAAAGTTCGTTCAGGTTTTCTGTTAACATCTTACAGAAAACCCGAATGAACTTTTTAGCCAACCCAATATATAAGAATATGAATAATATTAGTTATGAAGCATCATAGTAAAATAAACACCCATGAACCCACCACCCAACTTAGGAAGTAGGATATTATCAATACCTGGAACTTCACTATGTGCTCTTTTTTTTTTTTTTTTTAATATTTATGGCTGCGTTGGGTCTTAGTTGTGGCATGCAGGATCTTCGTTGCGGCACATGGGATCCTCTGCTGTGGCGCGCGGGCTCCTCATTGTGGTGCACAGACTTCTCTCTAGTTGTGGCGAGTGGGCTCCAGAGCATGTGGGCTCTGTAGTTGTGGCGTGTGGGCTCTCTGGTTGTAGCCCACGTGCTCAGGAGTTGTGGCGCACGGGCTTAGTTGACCTGCATCATGTGGGATCTTAGTTCCCTAACCAGGGCTCGAACCCGCATCCCCTGCATTGGAAGGCGATTCTTAACCACTGGATCACCAGGGAAGTCCCCCATGTGCTCTTTTCTGATCCCATGCCCTGCCTTCCAGGGCCACCCCTCATGCCCTAACACTCCACCAGCCACATAACCACTCTCATGACTTTTCTCCTAATTCACTTGCTTTTCTTTATTGTTTTACTATTCATGTGTGTGTCGCTAAACTGTACCTTGCTGACTGTTGCTTGCTTCTGAACATCGTAGAAATGGCATCACACACAGAAACAGCACTCTTCTGTGGCTTGCATCTCCTTCCACATTGTTCCTAGAGTCATGTATGCACATACCTATAGTTTAGTATCGTTTCATTGCAGTGTAGCATTCCATTGTATGGAGATAGTACAATTTATTTAACTATTCTCCAAAGGAGAATTAAGTTATTTCCTTTTTTTTTCCCCTATCATGTCTACTAGTCCGGTCATTTCCTTCCCTCATTTTCTCTCTTCTCTGAAACTTACATCAGTCAATTGTTGAATCTTCTGGGATAAGCCTTGAATTCTATTAGCTCTTCTGTCCTGTTTGCTCTTTCTTTGTAGTTTTTTTCTACTCTCAGAATTTCTCAAATTATGCTCTAAATCATCTATTGGCTTTTTTTAATTTCTACTAAGATGTTTTGAATTTTTTAAAGCTCTTATTCTCTCTAAGTTCCTTTTCTTCTGTTACTCCTGTTTGTAGTTTTCGTAGATACAAATATCATGGAAGGGGAAATTTCCCCCTTTCCCCTCTTGAGTTCTTTTGGCTGCTCTAATAGTTAAATTGACACAAGACAGATTAACAGGAGAAAAAAAATTAATTTGTGATCACAGAGGTCTCATAGAAGTAGGACCCTCTAAGTGACCAAAGCAGACTGTTTATATATCATTTTTAGACAAAGAAATACATAATTATTTGTGAGGATTTCATAAATCAGCGGGACTTGTGCTTAAGGTAACAGACTAAAGAATAAGTAATGAAGTTTGTTTATAGCTTTCTTAGCCTTGAGTTCCCTAATTCTGGTGATAAGGTTGCTTTCCTCCTGGTTTGGAAGGGTACTTTCATATGGGAGAATTATTTCCCGCTTTTCAGGGAGTTAGAGTGCGGTTTTCTATGTAAATCATTTTTTTACCAGCTGTTTCTCAAGTAACCTTAATTGAAAATAATCAATATGCCATGGAGACATATTTTGAGGCAGCCTGCCCTGGGTCCCAAAACAAACAAGGTTTAGAATTTTCTTGCAATTTTCTTTCGCTTTCTGCATTCCCTGTTTCCTCCTAGGGTGGTTGGTTGGGTGATTAATGCATTTAGGTCTCTTATCTTTCATGTTAGAAACTCCCCTCTCATGTTAAGGGATGCTTAGCTGTTGTCTCTGACATGAGTAAAGGCACCACAATGCCGAGTCCTGGGTGCATGGGTGGGGCTTGTCTGCACGTGGGCTTTACAGTAGGCTGATCAGTTGGGCACTCGGCTATTTCACCAGGGAAACACCAGATGCTAATAGGTCTTTTCTCTTGGCCTAGTCGATTTCCAAGAGAGGAATCTTCCATTCTTCCTCCCAGAGGATGTAAGCTGATCTACCATCATTCTGGCTGCTGGGCAGGGAAAGTGAGTGAGGCGTTCGCCACCCACCTCCAGGTAGGCTTTCACTGAATGCCCATTTTTAGCCCTGTTCTCAACTGTGCCTCGTGTCTCCGAGTCTCTTAGTTTGACTTACCCATCGTCTTCCACTGCAGGGGAGGGCAGTCGTCTGGTTGTGTGGGGTGGGAGGGGAGGTCTGGGGGTCTCCCTGTGCCTCAAACAGATGCACAGCCAACACTCCCTTCCTGTTTTCAGTCCTACCCCTCATCCCCATCTTAAGGGCTGTTCCAGTTGGAGTCCTGTGGCAAGGAGTCCACCTGCTCCTCTTACCGTGCACGACCTCCCTTCTCAGGGTTAGATTTCAGCCTTCTCTGCTCTCCTAAATCAGTTACCACTGACTTTTCAGCTTTTCTTGTCATCTGTCTTCTGTTCCTGCATCCTCTCCAGCCCTCTTGGTCCTTGTGGATACATACTTTTTCCCTGTTAATTTCTCTACTCTCATTCTGAGGCTTTGGGGACAAGGTGGAAAGAAATGCACGTGTTTTCAGTGTCACTGCCTCCACAATGCACAGGCGTTGGAATGTGGAAAATACCCGAGAGGAGGAGCAGAGGAAACTGCAGGAAGTCTGCAGCAGCCTCCGGTTCTCAGAGCCTTGCCATGGCTGGCCAGATGCCTGACATGGTATCCAGTTCTGTGGTGAGCAGAGAGGAGTTCTCTGCGCGTGTGTTCAGAACAGTGACACTTGTGCGGAGAACAGCAGAGGAGGGTGCTGTTGAAATGAGGAAAGAGAGTCAGGCTTGGCTGGAGCAAGCGCAAGTCTACTGGAAAAGCATTGATGGCCAAGATCCAGCTGTATCTCACCCATCCCATTCCCCCCGTTAGGAGAGTTAATCCCAGGGGAGGCACCGTTGCACACTCTTGAGGGACAGCCCAGGGTCGCAGAGGTCACCAGCAGCCCCTCAGACTCAAGGGGTCCATGTGGCTATGACTCCAGTCCCTGAGGGTAACTTCATGAAGTGGGGAAAACAGCAGATTTCTCATCCTCTGTCAGAGGGCCATCCCCAAAAGCCAGGACTTGGGGAACAACAACACCGGCTACTTTGCTTCCAGCATGGGGTAGATAGCCACAGACAGGAGAGCTGTGTCTCAAACATGATGCTAACTTGCCCTTGGCATCTAGCAAACCAAAGTCAGGTGGGGCAGGTTCTGAAAGGGAACAGAGCAGTAGTCGCCTGTGCAGCCAGGGCTCCATGACCTGGGGTGGGGACTTTATTTCCCCCTCTAGGAGGGGAGCTGAGTAGTTCCACGTGCAGGTTCTGAGGGGCTGATCCCAGGACTTGGTGTGAGTGCTCACCCTTCCTTTCCGACCGTGAGCACCCTGCAGCCCTCCCGAGATGCTAACCCATGCCTGAGAGAGGCTGGAAAATGGGAGAAGGAAGAAGTATGCTCTGGGGTATTTTCAATACCACCAAGCAAGTCTTCCAGCTCTTAGCAGATACCGACTGGATGTCCGACAGTTGAACTCAATTCTGACTGTCTACCTAGAGTTAGCACCAGAGGCCACAGTTTAAGGGCTCAGTCCTGCAAGACTGCCCCAAATTCAGATGTGATGCCAAAATTCAGCCTCTGTACACCAGTACTGAGTTCAACCTCGGAGACAGTTTTGAGTGAAGTAGAAAAGAATAGCTGTATTGCTTTGTCAGGCAAAGGGGGCCACAGTGGGCTAATATCCTCAAAACTGTGTGCTCTGACCTGGAGAGGGTAGTGAGGAGTTTTATCATAATGGTTCAAAGAGGAGGGCGTGATCAGCTCACGGACATTCTTCTAATTGGTTGGTGGTGAGGTAATTGGGAGCCATCATCATCATCAACCTGGTTCCAGCTGGTCTGGAGTCTACATGCTTGTGGGTAGCATACTGTTAACTTCTTTCACCTGGTGGGGCTTTTAGTCTCTGCAAAACAGCTCAAAAATATTGTTATGTGTATCCCTTGAGGGAGAACCAGGACCCTGCCCCAGGGCTGCACTATGTTTTTTGACTGCTCCTCCCTTGTCTCCACATCCCTTCCCTTCCCTGATTAGGGACTGTTTGAACCTGTCCTTTAGAGCTCAGGGAAGGTAATGGAGGCTGAATGAAGCCTATTTCATACAAACAAAACTCGAGGGACACAGAAAGGCTTTTTTTTCTTCTTCTTCAATCTTTATTTTATTTTATTTTTACTGGCAAGCCTCCAATGCAATGATAAATTGGAAGTGTTGATACAGCGTATCCTTGTCCCTTTCCTGATTCCACAGAGAATGTGTTCAATAACTTACCAGTAAGCATAATGTATGCTGTAGTGTTTTTCACTTGTAGATATTCTTTATCAGGAAAAGGAAGGTCCCTTTTATTCTTAGTTGTCTATGAGGTTTTATCATGAATGGGTATTGTCTTTTGTCAAATTCTGCTTTTGTGCCCAGGAGCCCCACAGGGTCCTTTTCGGTTTCAGGTGTAAGTCCAGGTTGTCACCTCTGCTTCTGACCGACCGGCTATAGATTGGTTAGAACAGCTCACAAAGCTCAGGGAAACATTTACTTACATTTACCAGTTTATTAAAAAGGATATCACAAAGGATACAGATGAGCAGCCCACGGAAGAGGTCCACGGAGGTGAAGTCAGGAAGCGTCCTGAGCTCAGGAGCTTCTTCTGTCTGTGGGTCTAGGGTGCTCTGCCCTCCCAGCAAGTGGGTGTGTTCACCAACCCAGAAGCTCATCAAATCTCCTTGCGCAAGAGTTTTTATGGAACTTGATCTGCAGCCCCCAACCCCTTCCCTTAGATCAGGGGGTGGGACTGAAAGTTCCAGTCTTGTGAATCACTCAGTCTTTCTAGTGACCAGGCCCTTCCTGAGGCTATGCAGGGCCCCCTCCCCCAGGTCATCTCATTAGCATAAACTCAGATGTCGTAGAGAGGGCTTGTTGTGAATAACAAAAGATACTCCTATCCCTTAGGAAAGTACAGGGATTTTAGGAGCTCGGCTCCCGGGACCAGGGATGGAAACCAAGTATATTTCTCATTATACCACACGTGCCAACACCATATCCTCAGTGACAGCTGCTTCTGCTAAGGGGTGGCATGACTCCCATCAGTGAGGAAATCATCCTCTACACGGCAACCTTTCCCTCGCAGAGATGGGGAAGGGAGGGGAAGGGAAAGGCCCCGAAGCAGATACTATTGGTGCTGTGCCCAGAGCCCCCAGGACTCCTGGACTGTTTTTATGCACACTAGGTCTCCTTGTGATGTCGCTCCCAGAAGCCTGCACCTGATCTCTTGGTAGAGAACCTAGGAATGTGTGTCCCACCCACCCCCCGCCAGGACTGATGCCGAATCTGGCCTCTGTACCCCAACACCAAATTAAATCTCAGAGATAGAGATTTGGGTGAACTAGAAAAGAATAGCTTTATTGCTTTGCCAGGCAAAGAGGCTCACAGCGGGCTAATGCCCTCAAAACTGTGTGTCCCAACCCAGGGGTTGGGGTGGGGGGAGGGTTGTGAGGAGTTTTAGTCAAGGGGAGGGGTTGCTGATAAGGATCCAGGTGCAGGCAGGACCTGCATTCCTGCAGTCTAGAGATCTTCTGGCATCAGGTGGTCTCGTGATCTGTGGTTCTCGAGGTTATTGAACTGTGACCTTCTCTCTGGAACATCTTCCGTTTGGTGGGGGGTTTAGTTCTGCAGAAGAGCTCAAAGATATTATGTATATCCCTTGAGGAGGAAGCAGAACCCTACCCCAAGGCTGCAGTATTGTTTCTTGACTGCTCCTCCCTAATCTCCACATCCCCTCCTTTCCCTGATTAGCAACTGTTTGAACCTGCCCTTTGGAACTCAGAGAAGGGGACACAGAAAGGCTTTTGTGCCCAGAAGCCCCACAGGGTCTTGCCCGGTTTCAGAATTAGCCCTTAACAAATGACTGAAAACATGGGGGTATAGCCCTCCAGCTTTCTTGCTCCTTTGTTATTTACTTATTTATTTATTTGGCTGCACCGGGTCTTAGTTGTGGCACTCGGGGATCTTAGTTGCCACGTGCAGGATCTTTATTTGCGGCGTATATGCGGGATCTAGTTCCCTGACCTAGGGATTGAACCCGGGCCCCCTGCATTGGGAGCGCAGTCTTAACCACTGGACCACCAGGGAAGTCCCTGTGGGGTTAATTTTAAAATGTCTCCAGAGTTCCCATGAGAGATTGCTCCAGGCCTGCCCCGCCTTGGGACTCTGCTTGCTCTCTCTGTTTCCTTAGCCTCCTTTCTTCCCAGGTCTCACTTCCCCACTCACTGCCCAACCAGTTTTTTTTCTGGGAACACTTCTTTTTTTTTTAATTTTATTTTATTTTATTTATATTTATTTTTGGCTGCATTGGGTCTTCGTTGCTGTGCGCAGGGGCTACTCTTCATTGCAGTGCGTAGGCTTCTCACTGCGGTGGCTTCTCATGTTGCGGAGCACAGGCTCTAGGCATGCAGACTTCAGTAGTTGTGGCGCACGGGCTTAATTGCTCCGTGACGTGTGGGATCTTCCTGGACCAGGGATTGAACCCGTGTCCCGTGCACTGGAAGGCAGATTTTTAACCACTGCACCACCAGGGAAGCCCTCTGGGAACACTTCTTAAACAAATAATTTTTACATGAATCCTCTTCTTCAAGTCTCTGCTTCTGGAAACTCAATCTAAGACAGCCTCATCTTTCAGAGTCCTTGCTGGTTCTTGGCTACTGCAAAGTGGGACAGAGTGGGCAGCCCTTTGTTTATAAAGCACTGTAAGCATGCTGCAGATGTGAAAGGTAGACCCTGAGATGAGGAAAGGGTGGAGACTTAAATTGTTGTTTCAAATCAAAGGGAGAGAATTGGGCTTCTGAAGGAAACCTGGAGGGGTAAGAAGAGGCAAAAGCTGGGAGTTTGAGGTGGAGAAGGGGATGAGCCACAGGGCAGTATAAAATGTCTCTGTTGCACCAGACCTTCAGTAAGGACTGCTACTCATACAGACACTGTGTGGGCGTGATGTTTGGGGTAAGGCTGCTTGGGATGCGATGCTGCA